ATCTATGGGAACATGAACTTTGTCTATCACAACTAACACTTGTTGTGTGCTGAACACCTGTTATTATCAGCCACTACTATCCTTACAGAAACCTACTTAGTGCTTGTGTTTCTCTCATGTAAGGAAAAAAACAAAAAACATTTAAAAGAGTACACCAACACAATCCTAATAAGCGTAATAATCATAAGCAAACCTGCAACAGACCTTCAACCATAAATAGTACGGTATAAGAAAGGAATTGTAAGAAAACAAAACACCTTGCCCCCCCATGTCCTGGATTGTTTTTAATTTGCAGTGGGGATAAGGGCTTCGAGGGGAAGCTGGAGAACACCTCTTACAGGAATATCAAGGGCATCATGAAGCTGGCCCTCATCCTTTTAATCCAGAGTTACACCAAGCCAGGCTCACTTTTTCTCCTTGTCAGTCATTTGTAATAATCTGTATTCTCCATAAGTGGCAAAACTATGTGATAAGTTTTAAGGGCACATATGCTTTATGTATATGTATACTGTTGAACACCACAGTTTGATAGTAAGATTATTTTTTTTCAGTCCTACATGCTTGGAGGTTGTCTTTATCACCCTTAGCACACAGTGTAAAAATAACATATGCATAACTGAAGTCTAACTTCATCTGAAACTATTAATGCTACCTACATGGGATACCCCTATTGAGTTTTATTATTCCTAATTCTTTTCTGTAAGTGCACATTCATAACATTACTATGTGTATACATTACTTCTTGCAGGTTTTCTTCTGAAAGAAGAAATGTATACACATAGTAATGTTATGATCACAGGGAAAAAAAAGAACTGTCATGAATCCAGTATCCGTTGGTTAGCGAGTACAAAAATGTGATATATGCTCTTGAGGCAAGTACTGTGCTAATACTTCATTACAAAAGTTGTTAGAGGCTTCTTTTAAAATTGAAGCTTGTTCTCTATAAAGTATACTTGAAGTGAACTTAAATGACATTTAAGTTAACTGAAATCACTAACACTTTCAGGTGATGCATAGCTGAATTCATCCAAGGAAGTTGGTTACATTTCTTAATATATACCCCAGTCAGTGTTCAGCAGTTCCAATTAACAGCTACAATTCTGTATTTATTAGAATAAACCAGACTGATTTATATGACTCAGTCACCAGAGCACCACTAGCAATCTAACTAGCTAAAAAGATCTGTCATCTCTTTTGCAACCATCTCTGTGAAAATGCTATTTTTGTATCTTCTTGGAAAACTGATCAATGAATCATATTTATCCTTCCTCAAAGACAGTGCTCCTACTGTACAATAGTCACCTCAGCAAGCCCTCTATTAGAGGCAAACCACCATCAAAAAAGCCTGTCATTTTCCAACACTCTGAAGTTGTATTTTCAGGTACTCATAACAGAAATTTGGTAAATTAATACAGTTTTAATAGATGACACCATCACTAGAGAGTTGACAAATTTCAGGTACTGGAAATTAATTTTTTTTTCAATTTAGCTTCAGTGTTAGAGGTGTAATTAAAAAGAACTCTACTTATTTTTACTCAGAAATACACCCTTTGAAAGATAACAAGTTACTGAAAGCAAACATAAAATTGACAGCTGCCTTGTAATTTTGTGTGAAAAATTATTTACTAATATATTAATTATTTGCATCAGACTCTCACAATCAGCCAATGACCAAAAATAAGCATGTATGCAACAGTCTACAGTTGAAGATTCCATTTAAAAAAATAAAAATGCAAGGATGCAATTCCACACAGCACTTTTTCACGAGGATAGTTGACAGCATAAAAGACATCTACTGACAGATACTCCTACTACAGTTTCATCAGCTAATCAGAACATAACAATGCGATTAAAAAGTTGACAGAAGCCAAAATCTCCTTGCCCTCAAATCCATACGTAAACAGGACCACAACTAAAATGCCATCAAGTTTTGCCTTTTATGAGCCACGACATAAACCTCCCAAGGAGAGCCCATACGATTATGGGTACTTCTAAGGCAGGAAGGAACTCTGGAGCATGCTGAAGGTCACACCACGCCTGCAGTCACAGCCACCATCCGCAGCCGGAGCCTACCATTTGACTGCAACCTAACCACATATACTGAACGGATAAAGCTTAACATAGCTACATTACCACCGCGAAAAGATTTCTGTCAGCTGCAACACAAGAAAGGAAGAGGAATTCTTTATTTGCCTCCCCTCCGCGGAGGGTCCGCCACAGGCGACAGCCCCGCTTCCCCGCCCGGCCCAGGACGCTGCCTCGCGCTCAGACCCCCGGCTCCTACGCCAACCAACCGCAGGGAAGCCGCCGCACGCCCGCCGCGGCCCGCTGTACCTCAGCAGCCTGCGCCGGGCCCAGCGGATGCCCCGGGAGCGCCC